AAAGAGGAGGTTTATGGTGTAGCTGCCATTTCCTGCTTCCTCATCCCCTGGTGAAGGGTGACTGAGCACTGGATGCTGGTGGCAGCAAAGGTGGGTCCTGCCTGGTGGAGGGGTGGCCACTGCAGCAAATATCTGCAGCCCATGGTAGTCTCCAAGCTCCCTCAAGGGACTTTGACTCAGAGCATGTCCCTGGCTCCAGCAAGCAAACCTCACGGCATGCTCGCTCTGGGCTGGGTTTGACTTGTTGTCATAGGATCTCAGCATGGTTTGGGTGGGAAGGGACCTCACAGCCCCCCAGTCCAACCCCCATGGACAGAGACACCTCCACCGGCCCAGGCTGCTTCAAGCCCCGTCCAACCTGGCCTTGGGCACTGCCAGGGAGGGGGCACCCACAGCTTCTCTGGGCAACCTGGGCCAGGGCCTCACCGCCCTCACAGTAAATAATTCCTTCCTAATATCTCATCTAAATCTAGCCTTTTTTGGTCCTTGTTGACTCAACAGCAGTCAGTGTCCATGTTTGCAGGAGAGCATGGAGCAGGTACCACCTTGGCATGGAGACAGATGTGAGGTTTTGACAGTTCTGCTGATTATGTGTGGAAATATTAAAAGAGAAAAGAGATGCCATCGAGAGCAGTATTATGTGATGCACAGTGCAAAATAAACTGATAGTGAGCCCAGCAGAACATGCTTTGCAGCTGGCCGTGTTGTTTTTGCCTGAATTGCAGATATTTGTCACGGTGAGTCATCTCAGGGCTGTAACTATCCTTTGAAATGAAGATGACATGGGAGCCACCTACCTGATGAGATGGATGTTCAAAATCTGATAGTGCTGACTCTATTGCTGGACAGCCCATTAAAGAAGAGGAGACCCAGGTTTTCTGCAGTAAGAATGAGACAAATACTACTCGAGAGCATTCCCTCTGCAGCGTGCAGATAGATGTAGTACTCACCTGTGACCCAAGCAGTGCTATTTTATATATACACCTGCTAAAGAAAACTCTTTTTTTATTGAGGAAAATCAATTGTCATAGTTGTTGTAAATTGTAAAGAAAATACTTTAAAGACCGCCACAGTTTTTTATAGGCCTGTGCAGTAGATTAATTCAAATTGGCTTCAGTTGTCATTAATTAAAGAGATGCTTGTCTGACTTTTTGAGTCAATGAAGGAATTTATGGTTGAAATCAATAGGCCAAGTACAATGGACTAAGGATGTGTTTATTTTTTTATAAACATAACTGTGCATATAGGCAATCAATATTTAATCATCCCATAGGTTTAATTTCTCAAGAAATCTATACATTCACGTCTTTTAGAGAATATAGTGTTTCTCAACAGCAGGTGCAGAATAAATACCCTTTTGTGGGCAGTGCAGAGGAGATGTCTTCAGCCTCCTGCAATAAAACACTGGAGACTTTCACAGTCCCCCTTCTCTGATGTTAGAGAAATGCATTTTGCTTTTCTATTAGCCTTAGGGAGCAAAGATTTCTAAATATTCAAAGGTAACCAGGAAAAAAGGAGTCCCTGTGAAGCTGTCTGTGCTCTGGATGTAAGTATGCTCTATTAATTAATTACAGGTTATGCACATGGTAGTGCAAATAAGTGCTCCAGAAACTAAGGTGATTTTTCCTCCATGCTTTACAAATATTCACCAAGCATTGGAAAGCTGTTGTTTCAGCTTAGTCAAAGCAAATTTTCCAAACTGTATTCCATCCTTATCTTTGTAAGGCAAAGGGCTTTGATTATAAGAATTTTTCTCCTTCAGAAATTCTTTTTCAAGTAAGTCCTGATTCTTGCTAATTTTAAGGCTGTGGACATGGGAATTGCCATGCAGGCAGATGTGTTACGGTTGTGTTTGCTTGTGTATTCTCTCTTTGAAGCGTCAGTATTGACTTTTTAATATAAAAAAGCACTGAATGTTACTGAGAGGCTGCACAGGTGATTTCAAGGAAATGGGTGGAGCGAGAGCCTCCCCAGTTTTGTGCTGGGAGTTTGAACCCCCCTAAGGTGTTTTAGGAATCTATATCCCATTTTTGGATGTCGGGCATTTCAGTGTTGGTGTTCATTGCCTCAGCATCATTCAGACCTTTAAAAATGTTGTGCTATGTCCTGGTTTTGCTGGCATAAGCAGGTATCCATGGCAGGTTCTCATTCATGGGCATCTAAAGAAGAGAGGAGAAAAGGCTGAATTTCTGTTAAACAACGCGTACCTTGCATTTCATCATCTGTTTGGTTGATCTCAGTACTCAGGTACAAAGAGCAGTGAAAGAGCTGGCAAACAGCAAAATCTCAAATTGCATTCTCTCATGAGCTCCACTGAGATGATCTTTTAAAGATACCATATTAACACACGTATTTTTGGTATCTTTATTACCTTTAATAACTCTTTGTAGTGTAGTGGCCTTGGAGATCCACTAACAGACGCTCCCCAGCAGTGCTCTTACCTCTCCTCCTGCTCTGCACCCACATGTCCATCCAAAACTGCTGATGCCTATGGCTGTTCCCAACTTTCTTAAGAATTCTTCTTGCTTTTTTGCTTTGCAGTCTGATTTTTATTTAGTGGGCATTTAGCTGTACTTGTGTAACATGCTTGAATGCTAAAAGTATTGGCACCTCTGTCCCACTGCTATGAATTTAAAGCTCAGAGTCTGTTAATATTGCTACAAATGTCATTTATTTGGATGAAATGTAGATTTAATACCAGATTTCAGCAATTCCAATGTATATTTTTATTGCATCAGCAAATTAAAGTGTTGGAATAAGAGATTTTCTTCATAAACTCCGTCACCATGTAACAGGTAAGCACTGTGGTGTGGTGAGCTTAGCAGAAGAGCTCATTTTAGCATCACTGCACCTGTACAGTTGCCTTGGGATGCGAGGTAAATATTTAATGATTTTTCCTTTGTTTTCTGCAGATAGTGGCTGTAATAAGGCAGAACTATCTGCAAGTGATATTGCAATACGAAGTCACTCTGCTGCCCAAAGTGGGTTTGATTACTGCTTATCTATAAACTAGTTAAAGTAATGTTGGAGACAATGTGGCACTCGCCTCTTGTGACGCTTTCTTCTTAATTAGATTTTTTTTTTTTTCAGTTCTTGGTAAGGCATATAAATAAAAGAAATTATGGATTTTGATGCTGAGAGCACTGCAGCCTGTAAAGCACAGAAATCTATGCTTTCCTTCTTTTTTTTTTTTAATAAAACAGCCTCTTGTTTGCTCATATTGACTTTCATTGTTCTCTGAAATCCATCCCCCTTTGAGACTACAGGGCTGGCTGGTAATTATGCACTAAGGCCACTAATGACTAGCCTACTTCTTTCTCGCTCATCAGCAAAAGTGGAAAGTGCTTGGAAATCAAACTGCATTTCAGTTTTCAGTGTGCTCTTGGTAGCGTCAAATGATGCCCCCAATGGCAGCTGTGAAACCTCATTACCTTTAACGAGGAGCAGCACCCAGCTCATGGAGATGCAGGTGTCTCATGACTGAAAAACTCATGGCCAATATTATTTTAAAATCAGGGAGGGAATGGTGCTGCTGGACATGAGAAGCCAATTTATGTGGTCAGGTTTGAAGGGATAGCATTCAGGTAAATTCAGCCTCACTGAGCTGATGCAATGAACCAAAATGAACAGCTTTTTTAAAAAAGGGAGAAAAAGGTTAACATTATAACAAGTGAGTTTGAAACATAGGAGCAGGTTTGCAAAGACATTTAGGTGGAAGAAAACATTGAGATTTTGAAAAATGCCTCAGCATCTGCTTGGATACTTGGATGCTTCAGCACCACCAGAGTCCGGGTGCTTTGTCCTTTGCTGTGATCTCTGTTTGGTGTCAGAAATCCTCATTAACTGAATTAACACTGTGCTTTTCCTGCATACAGCAGATTTCCAAGTGCTGCATGGTTTCTGCCCGCAGTTTGGTGCCTCTCTAATCCTCCTGGGTTGTGCGAAGGTTGAAGGACCCACCCAGGGTAGCGCAGGTCTGCCCGTGCTCCCGTTCATCTCTAAGGTAAGAAAAGTGTCAGTCCCAAAATCTCTGACATTTGTCTCCTTCTTTTGGTTCCAGGCTGGACAACAGCGTTGGTGGGAGCAGGAGATTACGGTGAATGGAAATATTCAAAAGGGAGAACTAATTACCTACAACCTTACTGAGCTGATCAAGCCAGAGGCATATGAGGTCCGTCTAACGCCCATCACCAGATTTGGAGAGGGGGACTCAACCATTCGAGTCATCAAATACAGCGGTAAGAAAACCTCTGTTGTACAAGGAAATGTGTTGTGAACTGGTCATCAGTCCTCCAGGAAGGAGGGATCTGGGTAGAACTGGGTCAAAATTATAGTTTTCACCTCTGGAAAGTTTAAAAATAATAATTTTTTAAAAAAATTAAAAATCTCCAAACAGCCAAAATGCAGAATCAGATGAAAGTTTCTGTGAAATAAAGGAAAAATAAATAGAACAAGCTAATGTTAGCTTCATAAAGTAGCTCATTTTACAAGTTCGTTCTTGCATTGGACACTTTGAAAGACCGAGTTTTGAAGAAAAATCTACAAAAACAGTATTCTGAAGGTATCAAATCACTGTTTTGATACCATCAAAATACTTTTCTTTCCCCAGAATGAGCATTTTTTGAGACGTTTTGGGATGAATGTGAGTGATTTAATAAGAAAAGTAACTGTTTCTTATCCTATGCAAGTGGAAAAGGGCATTTATATATTTTCCTCTGAAAGGTCATGTGGTGACAAAGATTTGTCCACTTTAATCTAATGAGAAAAATACAAGTATTCTTACATCCTTCCCTTCAGTCTCCAGCATTACCAGGAATGAATTCTTAAAGCTCTGAAAAATCAAATAATTTAAAATAGTGACCATATCTGAAAAACATCAAATGTCTTGTGCCTCTTATGTGCAATTCTCCATGATGAATGACTATCTCAGCCCTATTCAACCTCACCATAAATTATTTTTATCACTGTATTAATGTCAAGGGAAAAAATTACATTAAGCAACTTTAAACGTGAATTCTGAAGAATGTAGTTGCACATTTCAGTAAATGCCAGATCTGCTGACGATGGTGTTAGATGAATCTTAGGTTTCACCTGTTATAGGAAAGTGTTTCCAAAGTCTGCATTTCCCAAAGCTCATGAGAACAGAATCTCAGTTAAAAAGAGGATGTGTTTACTGAACTTGTGTATGTACCAATGAGAAGATGGTCATTCTGCCGTGGTTCTTGTTAGGACCCCTTACCCTGATAAATGCCTGTTTTGTGACACTGGCGGTGGGAGTCCAGTCTCTTTGTGGCAAACAAGAGATAGGCCCAGAGTCTTCCTGAATGTGACCAGGAGAAACAGCTCCATTCAGACATTTGGGATTTCTCTGCGGCAGTCTCAGTCTCTCTGTGCTGGTTGTGATAGGGAGCCACTGCCCGCTTCCATGGACCTTGAAATTACTCCAGTAACTTAAATACTGACCAATGCTCCTATAAGGAGTAAAAGCTCCACCATTTATGTCACTCAGGCACTGCTGATCGCTTTTGGTGGTGGTTGTACTCTGATGAATTTCTCTGAGGTTAACTGAGGTCTCAGCTATGGCTCACAACGGTGCTGAGTTTGGGTTTTTAACGAAACATGATGTGATTTACATTTCCAGCCCCTGGCTGGCAGGAAGAACGTTCCCCTGCAGCGTGAAAAGCGTATTTTGCCTACTGCAAATTTTTCCTGCTAGAATCTGCCGTTAGCGCAGATGTGAGTAACGTCCCGTTTCAAACGCGCTGATGAGGAGCCAACGCAAAACCCGGATGCCCAGGAGAAGGGGAGCCGTTGCCTGGTACCGCAGATGGAGAGATGGTTTTGGAGCAGTGCTTGGTGCCATTACTCTGAGGCTGACAAATTCACAGCTTCAGAAAACACAAGCCAGATGCTAATCAATAAGATAAACCTCAGGTAACTTCCCAGAACTGCTCTGGCTTTGTGTACGTAAAATACGCATTTTTATCTTGGCATCCATCCAATGGCTGTAGTGTCAGCAAACTATTACCAGGCTAATTTTGAGGATGTTACAGCTTCAACTGTAAAATAATGATATCGCATATGTTATTATAGTGCAAATCCAGTGCTTATAATGTGAAATGCTGGCATCATAGAAAAGCAGTTAATGGGCTGGTGGGATGCACAGCAGCAGGCCTGCATCGATTTAAGAAATAATTATAAACATTATCCAGAAAATAAAAGACATCATGCGAATGTTTCTTAAAAGGAGAACTAAGATTATTTTTTTACATTTTACTCCCATTAGATTTTTTTTTTCAATTGTGAGACTTCAGGCAAGGAGGAAAACATTTGAATTTTCAAATGTGTGTGCATTGTGTGCCTCTGTGAGTTTGGTTTTGATCAGTGCCCTAGAATACAGTGGCCTCCAGCAGTGTCAGCCCTTTCTTCTCATCCCACCACTCTGGGAGTATTCATTTTTGGCAGACCAGGACCCAGAACCGTGTCCATTTAGGTCTTGAATATCTCCAAGGACAGACACTTCACAGTCTCTCTGGGCAACCTGTTTGATGCTCAATCACCCTTAGAGTAAAACAGCTTTTTTCTTAAGTTTAAAATGCACCAATGTATTTGTACTGCTGGTGAGGATTCTCATTGCAAATGCTTTTTTCCTTCTTGGTTTTTTTAACTTTAAGCAGGCTAATAGGATTTCACCCCATTTTGAAGGAATGCAGCAGGTGTGAAAAGCAGATCAGACACATTGTAGTTAAGTTGCTAAAAATGGTAACAGTGTCTTTTGCCTTTAAGAAATGCATTAACTTTTGGAGTTGAGTTTCTTTTATTTGTAAAAATAACAGTTTGCAGAGTGCTAGCCTGCTGGTGGCCATCTGAATGTCCCAAGTAAGGAGACTGTTAAAGCAGGAAAACCTCAGTAATGACCATTTATAGTATACCCTGCCATCCTAAGTGGGAGCTATAGACACGAAATAAAGACTCCACAGTACCCAATCCTGCAAATTGAAAACCCATGGCGCAAGCATCACATAGGGAAATCCTTCTCCTGCCCTTGAATTCTTCTCTCCTCTGCACACCAAGAGGACAAGAAAAAAGAGCAATCATCACAGCAGGCAACGTTGATAAGTACAAATTCTGTGGTAGATGCATGTGTTACCCTGCTAGTGAACACAGTCTGCCGAGTAAATACAAACAGGGCGATTTAGTAGCACTAATGAGTGTTTTGTAGGCTAATACAAAACAGATATGTCTCATAGTAGCACCAGATATGTCTCGTAGTCACAGTTTAAATATTTTCTCCATCACTTTACATAAATCTGTGTCAGCCTGTTTGATACAAACCGGCTGTAAAGTCCTCCAGCTACTCCAATTAAAACTTCAGAACTCGCTGCTTTAGATATGCATTATGTTTAAATATTTTTAAAGTTAACCAGTGACTAAAGAAGAAAGTATACCTGCCTTTAATGAAAAAGGCCAACAACGCAACAGTACTACTGTTGGTACATTGAACCAGTGGCAGATGGGCAATGGTGGCCAGTTGCTTGGTAGTCCAGGTTGTGTGTTTTCATATGAGGTTTAGACACTCCCCAGATGCTGTATGGAAGAAGAATATATAATTGTGGTTATTTATTGTTATTGTTGTTATTGTTATTGTTGTTGTTATTACTGTTAATATTGTTATTATTATATTTTGGCCCTTGGAAAAATAAAATTGGCACCACATAGGGCATAAATGATAGGATTTAGTAGTTTGCACAGACGTACCTTTCCAGTATTATCCAGTGATGTAAATAGTATGTTATGATAATTGCTATTATGGGAGGAAGAAAGCTTTGATCTTGTAGAGTAGCAATATTTGCAGTGAATATTGCTTCTCTTGTGCTAACCAAGGGCTTAGATATATGGACCTCTGGTCTTCATGAAAGCTTTTAGGTGCTGGTTGTAATTACCACAAGTAAGCAGTTTCCAGTGAAAAACACCATAGCAGCTGAACATCTGGCATGCTTCTGCTTAGCTCTGGCTTTATGTTTTTGATGGTGAAGAAAGCTTGGTTTGCAGCTGTTTTTTTGAAGGAGGGACATAATTTTGCAGTCTCTGAAGGCCTCCACAATTTTAAGCTGAAGAAGTGTCTCTGTGGGGAAGGATGTGTAGGAGTGTAACAGCCTTTGCATAAATGCAGTTGCACCAAGTAGAAGAACAAACATCAAGAAAAATAATTCAGCCCTCATTTTTCTGCTGTGACCTGCACACATAGAGATCACCAAAAAGTAAAATCATCCAGCAAACAGAGATTCCAGCAGGTTTTATCCTCTGGAGGGAAGGCAGACAGATTAAAGGTTCATCCATCGTGGCTCTAACGAAGCTCAGACATTTCCTGACACTTTGTTCTCCCAAAGTCCTCCACCAGCAAAACTTCCCTCCCAGCACCAGCCAGGGTCGGCCAAGCAGAGCAGTGATAACCCTGTGAGATGTACAAGATTTCCAAGACGTTTCAAAGTCAGCCTTGGGAATTTACTCCCTCAGTCATCCATTAATTTCCCTTAAAGGCTAATTTAATTCGCTACCGGTGTGCCATGTACACAGCAACCTTACCTTTCTGTCACGCGCCATCCCATAGCAGAGTGCTATATTATTTAGAAGAATGAGCTTTCTCTTTTTTTTTTTTGTTGGTTGTGGTAGGCTTTTTTCCTCGTTTATGATGTTAGATAAGTTCAGCCTAACCGCTTTAATTTGTTCTTCTGCCTTTGTCAATCAGTGTGAACCAAACCCAGTTTGGCAAGGAGCCTTTTTTTGCTCTGCTGTGAACAATCTGAATAGCATGACTCAAGGTTACCCACTGATGAGAGTTTCCATAACAGCCCTTACGTTTAGTTACAAATCAAGCATCAGCAAATGCACTTCCCAGCAATTTCTGCTAATTCCAAGTTCAATCACTCAAGGATTTCACAAAATGAGTATTTCTTGGAGAATGAAAGGTAATTTGTTGGCAAATGCTATGAGGTTATCTAATATAAGGTAATGGGTAATTTTCTTAAGAAGATTGTGCTGGGGCAAATCACTGCTCATTTGTTTCACCAAAGGCAGAGTTGCTAATTTAGAGCTGTTTGGAAAACTTCAGCTTGCATCTGAAGCCGTGTAAAGTCCATGGCTGGGGTCACAGACCAAGAGTTCTTGGCCCTAAGAGTGGCATGGGAAGGGCAGCAAGAACACATAGAGCAACCAACCCTCGTGCTGAAGTTTGGCATTACCAGATGTACTCATTATCTGGAGATACAATTTTATTTTGAATTTTCTGTTAACCACGTGCCATTCAAACTGCGAGCTTAGCATCCTTGATTTCCCATGTGTGTAAGGGGGTCACAGCAGAAGAATCCAGTTTCCCAAGTCAGCCATCCTCAGATCTACCTTTCTGCAAACAGGTAGCATGAAACTGCAGTGTAATTTCTCATTCAAAGAATTATGGATGTAGAGGTTTTTATCATTTTGCCAAGGGTCTGTGAAATGAGAGTGCCAGTTTGATCAGGTTCCCCAAAGATTCACAGTCCCCTATAGTCCTACTATGTCATGCGTGGCATTGCACAGACCCATAAAAGTGTGAACAAAAATCACATGTTTTAGCAAAGTTACCTCAAAGCTTCTGTGATCAAGGTCCTGAGGGGGAGGGAACAACAACCTATGGGAAATTTAGGATAATCTGAATGTTGATGAAATAGAATTGCCTCTTTGTGCTAATTTTATTTTTGCTTTCTCTTCCAGCTCCAGTAAATCCACACCTACGTAAGTACTTATTTACCTTTTTAGCTTTTATTTGTATGAAGAATTGTCCGCGCACCCGTTTTCCCTTACAGTTAAAAAATCAGTCTTTCACTTTCAGCTGCAGGCTATGGATTGCAGGGACCTCCTTAGTTTTTCATGGAAGCTGGGCTGGTGGCTGAAGGTGTCATTCCACCAAGGAGCTAAAGCAAGAGTAGATGGAGGAGGGAAAAATCATAGCTCCAGCTCATCTTTCTTTTCCACTGCCAAACGGGTCATCTAAAGGAAGATACTAATGTTGTGAAATAATACCCATCTGTGGGCATCGCAGCTCTGTGTGTTTGGGTGATGCTGTGCTTTAGTCATGGGAGTAACTAAACATCAATCAACTAATAGCTGAAAGTTACCATGTAGGAACTGTGTCTGCACCTCAACTAGTATGGTAAAAATCTTGAAGAAAAAGTCAATTTATAAAATTTTCCGAATTAATTTATCCTTGCATAAAATCTACTTCATTATTTTCCTCCACACCACAGCAAATGCATGTTTTGCTGTCACAGCATATTCTGCCATTACTCTTGCTTTTAATAAAATAGGCAAAAAACATTTGTTGAATCAAGAGTGGGGTTCAACCTACTGAAATTGGGAAGGAAAGCAGCACTGGGCTGTGTGAGCAGCCTCTCGCCATCTCTCACACACAGCGGCTAAGCCTTTCTGTAAATTTTAAACTTATTTGTGGAAGATCTTATGCAATTCATTAATAATTAATCAGGGCTTAGTTCAAAGCTCATGGGAGCTGAAGGAACCACTCCCATTGACTTAAATGAGCAGTAGATGAAACCCTTGCTAATTAATATATTAAATGTATACTCTATGATGTTAGGAAAAAATTGATTTTCAATCCCAAGTGCTTCCCACCATAGTTCTCTATGATTTTAAGATCTGAAACTATCTGATTTCCAAGATGTCTCTATAGCTGTAGAGGACACGTGGTAGAGTGCAGGTGGCACCTGAATGGCCCTTGTGATGGGGAATGTTGGCTCAGGGACAGAGGACATCTCCAGCGGCCCATCCACTGTTTCCTCTATTGGCTTTCCAGGTCTGCCTCTCTCTGCACTGGTGGCGATGGGAAGCTTTTCCCACCAGCACTAGAGTGTACCCAACTTTCAGGTGACCAACACGATGGTAACATTTTGTTGGGTACTTTTTTTCCTCAGAGACTTTTTAAGTGAAATCCTTTTCCAGGGAAGAAATCTTGGTCTGCAAATAGGTTCAACCCTGTAAGCTGGAGAACAGAGCTTCTGTCTCCCATAACAAATTCAATCTCACCACTATCTGTGCTTTCTACAGAGTTCTGGGTTTTTCTAATCCTGTTGGGCTGAGTTCTGATTTTATTTTCACTGTTGTGAATGAAGAGTAAGAGCTGTGTTCAACCAGTACAAGATATCCTGTACTGGAAATCGAAGTCATGTTCTTCCTGCTGCAATTCTGGAACAATCACATTGCATAAATCCCTCCTTTTTGTGAAATTTCTGTAATGCATGAGCAAGTAGCATCAAATGACTTAAACACTGAGATGTAGCTTCAGAGCTACATTTTATTTTGTAACATATATTATAAACAGTTTAATGTAAACCACAAGGGTTTCATGTCAATTAGTGGAACTGGATGTTACACCTGAATAATAGAAGAAATTAGATGTTAGAGAGTCATATTCAAGTTGAATTTTATTGAAATAGCTGACAAAAATTCACACTACAATGAAGAGTGTTTCATCTTTTGAACAGTTTCAGATTTTGCCCTAATTGGCAATGAAATTATTAATAACCTGAGTCCACCTTCAGAGCTGGCATGTGCTGTGACAAAAATTGACCACTGTCTTTAATGGTAATTAACACCATCATTAGTCCTTCCAGCAAACCCTGGTGTTATGAGCAATGCCGTGAGCTGGAGCACCCATGGGTGGTGGGTTAAGGCTGTCCCTCCTGCACTCGCTGTGCCCCATTAATGAACAGGGCAAGATCATGCAGATTTATTTAAATACTGTACTTCTTGCATAAGAAAATTACTGAGCTAATCATGGGAAACTATTTCTCACTTTTATTATTCTGTCATTTTTCAAGAAGTGTTTTGAGCCAAGAATATTTAGCACTAACCTTTTCGAATGTATTCCAAATGGCGAAGTCTCACATGAAACCAGTGTTTTCCTATCAAATATATGGCAAGCTTTTACTTACTTTTTTCATCTGGCCTGAATATTTTTTATTCTTTTTTAACTTGAAGAAAAATCTTTTGTTCTGCTGATGTGGAATTTCTTAATGAAGCTCCGAGGGCATGGTGCAACATGCAAATGCAGCTTGTAAGGTACTGGAGCAGCAGTGTTAGAAACTGCTGAGTGACTGAAAATGCTGCGTGTTAATTCACTTTGCTGCAGGACTGGATCTGATAGTCTGAACTTTTCTCCTTTACTTACTATTTTGCCCTTTAACGCTGCTTAGAAGAAGTACCATCTTTGGTGTATTAAGGGCTTGCTTAAGTGGACGAGGAAGCCAAATGCATAAAATATAGTGTAAACCAAGTGAATTAGGAGCTCAAGTAAAAGGTGTCCTTGGAGATGAGAGGCACAGCTTTTGTTCAGGGTGCTTCATTCGAGTCCTTGTGTCTTTCAAGAGTCTTTGCATTCTCTCTGGTCTTTGGGATAAAGGCGGAGGTGTCGTTCTGCATCTATTCACATGCTTCTCTCTCAAAGGATTTTGGACTTAATCTGCCCCTGTGTATTCCTTGTGGCCTTGTTCTTTGATTTGCTCATCCCTAGAAGAACCACAATCAGGCTTCTGCTTGTGTTTATCCTCTGCAATGCTCACAGTGGTGCTCCTTCATTGAGTCATTTCCTATGGGGGTAGACTGACAGAGTTGGGGTTGTTCAGCCTGGAGAAGAGAAGGCTACGGGGAGAGCTTAAAGCACCTTCCAGGACCTGAAGGAAAAGGTTCTTTCCTACAGGAAAGCCGGGGAGGGGCTTTTCACAAGGGCATGGAGTGATTGGACAAGGGTTGATGGTTTTAAACTGGAAGGGGGCAGATTTAGATGAGACATGAAGATTAAATCCTTCCCTGTGTAGGTGGTGAGGCCCTGGCCCAGGTTGCCCAGAGAAGCTGTGGGTGCCCCCTCCCTGGCAGTGCCCAAGGCCAGGTTGGACGGGGCTTGGAGCAGCCTGGGCTGGTGGAGGTGTCCCTGCCCATGGGGGGTTGGGCTGGGGGGCTGTGAGGTCCCTTCCCACCCAAGCCATGCTTTGATTCTTCATCATTCAGCATTCAGGATTCAGACCTTACTTCCAGAAACAAACCAAGGCTCAAGGTCCTGAAGTTGTCTGTCCATCCTGCTGGTGATTATCAGTCATTTTTGTCAGTGAAGGAACAGTGCTTTTGGAAATTGATTCTCCTGGAGGATCTAATAAAGTTGGTGGGATTTCTGAAAAATCAAGTCAATCTGCTTGAGGTGCTAATAGCCAAGGAGGTTTCTGTGGACTGCATTTTTGTGCTAACCTGGTTTTATAGAATGTTGTTTTATGCTGGCTGTTGTGGAGAGGGTACAGTTTGTGTGTTGGTCTTTGGACGGGCAGAAGCAGAGTGAGGAAGACTGGGAAATCACTCCTGCTGCACCTGGTGGTTTGTAATGAATTTTTCAAGCCTGCTTTTCAGTCTGCAGTATACCCTGGTTTTAAATAAGCTTCAGACCAGCATCCTTGCTTAGCAGTACATATCCCAGCTAAGCTCCAGGTCCCTCTGTCTTCATTGATTTACAGTGAAGCTCCAGTGGCTTAAGTGGATTTATAGTTCACCGAAACCACAAACCTGCAAACATTTATATACCTTCTCAATTTAGCACAGATGAATAATCCCATGACGCCCGGTGTTAGAGTTCCTCATAACAATGAATATAAATTGCACCCCTCTAAAGAAGGCTGTAGCTGACACAGTATGCAGACAGCTGCATTCTCCCTAGAGAAGAGGGATTTGCTTGTTTTCTCAGATAAATCAATTGACTTTGCTGAAA